CACACACACACACACACACACACACACACACACACACACACACACACGAAGAGGAACGTGTTCCTAGACGACAGTCTCTGGTGATGAGGGCTCAGTTTCCTTCCTCTAGCCTCTGGTCACCTGGGAGACCTAAAACAAACACCGGCTGGCGTTAGGTCATGCTTCTGCAATCACATCCACTTCCTGTGAAGTCCAAGTGTGAGAGTGTGTGTGTGCGCGTGTGTGTGCAGCAGGTGGGGTAATCCCAATCTGATTTAGGAAAACACACTGGAGGAAGAACTGTGTTTCACACACTGACAGTCTAGCAGTACATGATCGGCTTACGTGGACACCTTTTGGATTCATAGCTCTCCGTCTGTCGCTCTCCCTCAAGCTGTAGCTGCCGTGTGTAAATGTCTATTCGGACTTTCTCAAAACTCTTCCTCCCTCCTTCCTGCTCTCCTTTATTTGAGCTCAATTTGCGGTGCAGACAGCACAAATTGGAGCAATCAAATGCAATCTAGAAAACGTTCATTTGAACCTAGTGACCGATAAAACTGATAAGCGGAACCTTGAGCATTCCTCGAATGCTTCACACATCAACACAGACTAATACCAGACGTTGAGGAGAACAAAGAATAACGTGTGCATACCCTCTTCTTCTCTACATTTCTCTAAGAAATTACAAGTCTGGCGCATTAAAACCAAACAAAGAATGGTGAAGCCCAAATACTTATTAAAGCTTCAGAAATTGATAAAACTCCACCCATAACATTGACAAAACACTCCTACGCCTATTACTGCAAAAACATATGATGTATATGAAGTAGTTAAAGTAATTTACTTGCTGTGTAATTTAATTTTGACTTTATTAAATGCAGGCAAAAAAAAAAAAGGTGATGTTTAGGATTCCTCATCCTAACTATTCCTACTGAGGTAACTGAAGGACATTCTCGTAAACAGGGCCGACTCTGGCCCCCATGTTTGCCGTCAATGTACCTGTTAGCCTCTCAGCATTCCTGCACAGTTTAACTACACAGTAGGGATGTGTGTTGTGGAGCACTAGCTGTCCAAGCTAACATCCAAACTCACTCCCGCCCAGGGGACCTGCTCTGGTCTTGCTCGTCATCAGAAAGAGGAAATGCAACATGGCAGCTTCTTGTACGTACGTTAAGACATGCAATGGGACGGGACACATCCAAGTTCTAAACTTTTTTCCTTCAATCGCTGGTGTTGATGATGGATCACTGGCCCTGGTCAGCTGAGATTATGTCATGCTGTTGAAGTGAATGATGAGATGTGCAGGACGATTTTATAGCTTGACTCAATCACTCTTTCAAGCTTCCTCTGTCTCGTGGTCCATCCCACAAATAATCACATTCGCATCCTGGTGGGTGTGCGGCTAAGAGGATGTGAACGTTCCTGGTTTTACACTTTTGGTGTGTGTACCGAATTAGCAAATGAGTTACAGAGTGTTAATAGGTGACCTTTAGAGGTGCTGGCAAGCGATCGAGCAGGCGTTACAGAGTCCGTGCTCTTTGGGTTTAGGACTTTTAAGCCGTCTGCTTATCCAAAAAAAAGTGATGGACAAGTGTTGCACTGATAAGATAAGTCACTTGTGCTGTCTAAAAGTGAAAACATGCAGTTCCCAACAAGAAGCAGAAGAAGAAATGTGGCCTGTGTGTGTATATGGTGCAGTCGACAAAGAGCATGAGACAAAGTGTGTATCTGTGCACACATGTCACACACACTCTTGGCCCCTGATGCCGGCAGACGAGCTGCAGTCAGTCTCCTGGCAGACGACACGGGATCTGCGCCACACCGATGGGATTTCAGCACTTCTATTCATTTACACGCACGTCTGAGGATCCGTGCATGTGAGACTTCAGGTACTCTGGAAGAGGAGGCTGTGGGAGCAGGGTAGGACAATGGTGGGGACTGGTAGAGGGAAGAAAGGCTCTTTTGTGACGAGCGGGTGGATGGACAAGCCCCGAGGGAAGCCGCTTCTTGTAAGATGGGTGGTTCTTGGCCAGGGCCCGCTTCTCTTGTGTCGAAGATCCAACACACAAGCTGTGATTTATAGATTGGTTCCTCTTTGATGCTGACATCTGTTTGATATTGCCTGACGGGGGGATTAAATGAGCCAACTGGCTCTCGGAGCGGCGGCGACCCTCATCGTTGCGGAGGGATGGGGAAAACAGACACTCGCTAGCGGTGACTCACGGGTAATTTCATGCCCCAGTGAGGGCAGGGGATGAGATGATGTGAAAACATGGCGTCCACATGAGAGATGACCGTTGCGGTTCTGTGTAGGATGCATGAATGTGTAACCGTGCGTGCAGGAGTGTACCATTTATTCTCAGCGCATCAAAGCCGACGCGGTAAAGGGGATGTGACATGGCAGGGAAAGAGACGAGGCCAAATTTTGTCTAATGAGTTATAATGTAATGTACCCAATGGGCAAAAAAAAGAAAGACCATAGAGGCATGTGTAATTTACACTTGGTCTCCAGCCACAGCGTATGCATGCAACATGCTGATTAACCAGGCTTATGAGGGGGAGAGGAAGGCACGGGACGCCAGCAGAGGGAGAGGATAATTGCCTCGCAGCAGCCCGGCCTTCGGACAGTTTAGGTTGACTCGGCACGGGAAAACAAATGGAGCCTGACTGACGTGCAGGAATGGAGAACAAAAAGCTAATCAACAGTTACCAACAAGACTACCCTTGAGGAACCAAAACTGTTAGTCGGGCATGTTTCCGGTACTTTAAATCACGAGTTTATAGCCCAGATGAGGCTGTTGACGGAGATATGGATAGATGGTTCAAATGAAGACAAAGTGGAGGGAAGTTACTGATTCACTGCTCGTCACACAGCAGTAATGAAGAGTCTCCCGGCCTGACAGTGAGCAGAACAGAGACCGTTTGGAGAAATGTGGCTGTGGTCTGCTTTTAAAAACCGCCGCTGTCAGCGTCCAATTTGGAGGGACTGAAAATGAAAGTTAAGTAATGGCTCACAGTGGAAGACATGACAGATAATAAATCGCATCAATCCAGATTTAGCTGGCTGGAATTATTAACAGTAGTTCCAGGAAGGTCATGTCATGCTCTGATGAGCAAAAGCGTGTTTTTGAGGGGGGAGAGAGAGAGGGGGCAGCTTTGCAGATAATTATTCCCGATGTTGTGTAAACTCGTATTAGCAAGCAAAAGTCAACAGAGTGAGAAGAGTCTCCCTCCCTCCCTTCCATCCCTGTCTCTCCATTTCCTCTCACCCCAGTGCACCTCTCCCCCTAGCCTCAACAGGCAACCACCCTCTGTGTGATTTTTGGGAGTGATGGAAGGAGGTGGAAGGCAGGGATTCTGTGGAGGAAGGGAGGGGGCACACAGTGTAAACTGAGCCTCCCTTGTTTTTTTGGCAACTTGCAGAGTGCAGCAGAAGAAGAGAGGGCGACCGGGGAGGGAATATTGGATGAGTCAGCTGAGATACGCTGAAAGCCAAAGAGAACAGACACTGCAGGGTTGTTTAAGGACAAACCAGACTTCCTTGTGGATTTAGAAAAGTTGGGAACAATAACGCCAATGGTTAGAAAAGTGATGGTAGGATTCTCTGTGATGGCAAAACTAAAAACACCGAGCAATGCAGGTCGACCCTCGTCTTATCCAGCGGAACGTGCTAGCGGCAGCTCGGACACAGCTGTGAATAAGAGTACGCCATCAGCAAACCGAGGCAGACGCCGCTTAAGATTCATTTCCTCTCACGGTCGCTACATGCTGGGTGTTAAACCCACGAAGAATGTACTGACGTGAAAAGGAAAATCCCAAATACCTTTTTCAACAAACACGGAGGTTTTAATATTAATCACACACTTTCCTGCAGCTGTTCGCCTCAACTTTGCGAAACTTTTAAGAAATATATACACGCATTAGGAAAAAGAGCAGGGGTGCTCTTTCACAAGCAGTTAGTTCAGACAGATTAGATGTTATGCGAGAGCTGTTGTGTAGGCGAGAGCTGTTCCAAGCGCACAAAATGTAATTTTGAATTCTAGTCCAAATCCCAAGGTGCACATGTCATTTTGAATTAGAGACATTTGTGAAAACTAATGCACAAGATAAGATTGATGCCATAAAAAACAAATGTCTTAGGTGTGAATATCAAACAGAGGTGTGAGATAAATTTTGGTCACCATATAAAAATAGTTTTTTGCTGAAAATGTGTCAAAGACCTTACTTAGATCTTAGGAACATTGGATGTTAAATACTGGTTAGAAATGAACTGATAAATATAAGCCCGTCTAATTTAACACACAAGGCTGACTACTAAAGGAATTAATCTTACAGTAGCGAATGATCGACACTCATCTGCATCTGCACCGTATCAGCTGAGTCACCTTAAAATACAAAATACATTGGGACCAAGTCACTAGAACCGATGTCCTACATCAGCCCAGAAACACTTTGAACTCGACACCATAAGAACCTCTGTGCACATATTTGGTTTTACTCTTTTTAAGATAAGTGACCTCACTGATGGGAAAATCAAGCAAAACCTGGAAAACATGCATGTCCTTGCGCAGTTGTTGTTTCCTTATCATTAGGGTTGAGCATCATCAGTGTGACTCCTTCAGATTCCAGTGAGTTCTTTCGTTTTGGTCATACTTACTGTACATCGTGACTACTCATCCATTCTGCGTGGCCTCTTATCCTCATAATAATGGCATCACGTGGGCCGTATTTGTCCTTTTTTTTTTTTTTTCTCACCTCAAAGTTGACAGATAAGTTCCTCTTCAGGGCAATTTCGTAGACCAGGCTGATCTCTGATTTGCTGGCATCGGTGCCTTCCTCAGACTCCCCTTTTTCCTCTGGGCTCTGGAAGAGGAGGGAAAATATCAGAGGGGAAAATGGTTAAGGGGGACACACTGACTGTTGCTAAACTAAAGCCACTTTTAGGTTATAGGTTTCCAAAGGTCTATTGTTCAGTAAAAACTAGTTTAAGTAATACATTATCTATAATTAATGAACTGTTCAGTATGTCCAGAACTCAACATTTCAAAGCTTTTTCGGTTCACCAGGCTCACATAACTAGCGTCACTGATATGGTGAACTTAAAATAGAAACCAAAGCTGGAAGAGCAGCTCACATCATTTATAACCCTGCTTGGAAGCCTTTATAATCTCCCACCAAATTAGAGCAAGACCGAAAAAGGAAAAGAGGATTAGATCACAAATAAATGTGGATAGTGTTCAGGCTACTACATGCTAGGTAACATTATGTCTGAGAGAAAAGCCACATTTAAAGATGTAACTCATTTGGAATGGCATCATCTGAAGTGGATATTGGGCTTGAACAGACTTAGGTGCAAGGTGTTCTCCCAATAGCAATAAAGAAATCCCATTAGAGTTATATGAAACAGATATGAAACCATATTCAGTCGTAGTAAACTTAAAGTGCTGAACACCTGCTATAATATTCCTTCATGTTGTTAAGTTGGCGCAATGATCAGATATTGTCTTTTGTTTGATTTTTTTTACTTTGAAAGCACTTTTTTCAAATAAATGGAAAATATTTCTTTACTTCTTCTGATTTTATGTACCAGAAAATACCAGACTGTGACCCCCAAAACTGTGGCACATATCACATCGAGGATTACACTACTGCACACATACAGAGTGGAAGTCTGCCAAGCTGCTGCAACGAGAAGCTGCCTGTTTTCTGGCTATGATCCTTATCTGATATCAGATGGAGAACTCAGTATCCTGGTGGTCCTCTGTCTGCACAGGAAGGCCTCTTAAAGGGGGGGGGGGGGGGCATTAAATATGATATTTTTATGTTATTAACTCTCTGTTCTTCATAGCAAAATAATTATTTATTTACATCAAGAATGGTATCGCCCTGTAAGAAGAACAAAGGCTCAACTTAGTGTTTTCATCAGGCGTGAAACATGGCTGATCCACTCGAAATAAATCATTTTAAGCTCCACACAGATCCGACATTTTCTAAATCCAAAACAAATCTGCTGCCCATGAAACTATGAAGTAATTCTGGACTTAATACCAGACGACTCCGGTTGTTTAAATATGGATAAGCCAGACTCTACAAGAATGACGGCTGCATTCACCTCTGAATAAAAGAGCCATCGGTCCCTTCCACTAATAAAGAAATGTAGTTCACGCGACAGAGATGATATCTTAAGCCGTACAACGAGGGGGCTTTTCGGTGGCAATTGTTTATGGGAATGCAGAGTGCTGTCTCGATCTTTATCTCCTCATGTCCAGCTCTTTGTCTGATTATGTATGAATGTCTGCCGTCTTTCCCTTTGGGCTTCTTCCTTGTCGCCTGCCTCATTGTGCGATCTGATATGACGCATGATTCATACTGTGAGATCTCTTGGATTTCATAGAAAACAGTCACGTGGTACAATGCACCTACCGCACCGGGCGAGAGACCTCACATGGACGAGAGGCGCGTGAGCGCCTGCTTTGTTTTGTGTGTGTGTGTGTGTGCTTTGTGTGTGTGTGTGTGTGCTCAGACTCACATGTTCTGCATCCTGTAACGTATGCATATTTGTTTTCATAGAAATTCTAATATGTATTCATGGTTTTCATGGTTACATATCCCCCCCCCGACACTTTTTCAAGCGTTCTTAATGTGTGCGAATAATAATGTGAATCCTCTCTCAAGGCTGCACTTAACAAGCCACCGGGTGTGAAGCGTCTGCATCTGTCGGTGGGTGTGTATTAGGCTGTGAAGCTGAATGACCAAGTAGATCGGAGACCTTCCCCCGTGACAAAGACAAATAGAGGGCTAAATATGACTTTGGGTGCTGCCTCTACTTATGGATGTACTGGAGAGAGAGTCCTGGGAAACGTACGAACAAGAGGAGACACAGTGTGTGGCTTCACCACTTGTTCGTGAGGCATTAACTCTCACGCTGAAGCAGCAAAACGCTTCGCATTCACGTCGATGCTCAACCGCAATTGATTTGGTAACAGGGCCAAAGGATTCCACATCAAAGGGATGGGAGGAAGCGGCTCCCAATAGACAGAATGACTTGATTCTTTAAAAAAAAAGCAACTGTTTATCATAAGAAGTGACAATTTTCCCAGATCTAAATGCATCTTCCTTCACAGCAACCATGTGCAATCTCCTAGAAACAAATGATGCAGATTTCCACTCAACATGCTTTTTTTCAAGACAAGAAGCCCACTTGTTTAGCAGCAGACATCATAACTGTATTAATATTGTCAGCATCTAAACCAACCGGCAGGGATTTAGGAGTAAAGTCAGCAGTTTCCTTATATAATCTTTACTGCCTGAAGCGCGGTTAAGTTGGAGGAGGTCTTTGTGTTTCCTATGGTTACATATTGTTGCTCTACTCGTGTACAAAACACAATTGGAGTGTCACTGATATTTACCCGTGGTCTTCCTCAAAATAAAAAGGTTTGACAGACAATGGTTGAAGAGAAAAACTTTTAGCCCGAGGGCATCCGCACATTTACACATGTACGAGCGTACACACACACACACACACACACACACACACACACACACACACACACACACACACACACACACACACACACACACACACACACACACACACACAGAATGACAGACGTGTACTGGAGACACACCGTGCCTCAATTTGTAAAGCAAGACTCAGAAGCAGCAGCAAACAAAGAGCACATTTATGGAGGCCGACGCCACAAGACAGCGAGTCGGGCAGGTGAGAGGAGCCAAAGCATTTTGAATAACCGTCGGCGATGCCAGGCGGTGAGCATCGGGGTAATTTGATTTCCGGTGGGAGATGATAACAACAGTTAACAGCTATGCCGAAGGGGAAACTCTGGAATGGTAAGAGTGACACAGAAAGCAAAAGGACAAAATCCAAAAAATTAAAGAGAGAAACTACACTCCCGCCAGGTGCGAACTAAACCATGGAGACCTGCCGGGCTTAAATTATACATTAGAATGATTAGAGCTGAAGTGGATTTGGATTCAATCGGATTGAAAGGTTGTTACGCATCTGCAAAAAAAAAAAAACGCCGTGTAACACTCTTAATAGAGCCTCTGCGGGGACACCATCAGATCAGCAGCACAAATCCTTTGACTTTTCATTAAAGCAAGAGTTTCAAGTGCGAGGGTGGGGGGGCCAAGCAGAGCGACAGTCAGCCAAGGTTAAAGCAGTGGGGGGGGGGGCTAGATGCTTCATAAGGTTGGAATGCACGCAGACAGCACATCTAAGCGTGTATTAAAAATCTATAACAAAGCAACATATTTGCTACGATTCATGTTCTGTCAACCGAGTGGCAACAAACCGTTTAAGCAATTTTCAGCAACAAAAATATCACAAATGTCTACAGCCTCTCACATGTGTGAATTTGAAGTCTTTTTTGTCTTCAGTTAATTGAATATATTTGAGGTCAAGCATTTTTGACATATGCTGCGTAGAGGATGAAGTGAAATATGTGTGAAAAGCTGAGCGGAGAAGGGGGGGCTATTGTACTTGGGGACGGTACAAATAAATTATATCTAATATGAAAACGTCCTGAGAGTGAACATGCAATTCTGTTGAGTAAAAGTGAAGACACTTCTCCTAAGTACATGGTAATACATGAGTGGCTACTTGTAGATGGGTAATGAACGGTCCAAGGGGAACATTGCATTTGGAAATCCCACACTTTTCTTTTTTTAGAATGATGCAACATATTTGTGACACATTATGAAAGATCATCTGCAGTAAGAATGAATGAGTTGCACAGATTGGCTAGCAGCATAGTGCATTGCAGTAGTGCCGAAACTAACAAGCTGCAAAATGTAATAGTACAATATAGGGCAGAGGTGAAAAACTATGGTTTTGTCCAGACCAGCGAGAAATAGAAGCTCCTTCATTAGACTAATATGGTCCGTCCTACAGAAGTCCATTTAAGCTTCAGAAGTAATGGAACTGTGTTGAAGATGTCGGCAGGGATTCACTTGTTAAAAGAACTACGCACTGCTAGCGTACGCCTTTCTGTCTCTAAGTGCTCTCGTGTGTGTGTTTACCTGCGGCGGCCGTTCGGGGATGGGTTCGTTGCGCAGCGCTTGCAAGGCCTTCATGGCAGCATTGTGTCTGGCTGCTTGGCGGGTGCGTCCCTCCCCGATGAACTCGTGACTCCCCACAGACAGCTGCACGTAGAAGATCTTAGGAACAGGGTAGTGGTACCTGGAATGAACAAAACGACAGAAAACGTCTATAAATAAATATGTAGCCATAAATGTATGGGAAAAACAAGAAGCGGGAGTAGCTCAGACATTATGAGCCAAGCCATCAATCCACACCGTTTACACTGTTCCCAAATTAAAGTCCCACCACTTCATCAGGGTCAATTACTACACAATGGCCCGCTGGCTAACCACTTGACTGATGTCTTGCTATTGAATCTCAGCACGGGGACGGCAAACAAAGCGCAGGGACACATATATCCTCTCCTCTTTCTTCTGGCCCCGAACATAGATTCTCCTCTCTTTCTTCGGGTCTTGACAGAGCGGGACCGAGCTGTCACCAAGCAGATTTAGAGGTCTGCGAGTCCGCGTGTGTGATACCCCCCTCCTGGGTCAGGGTGAGAAGGGCTGAGAATGTCTGCCGGATCCAGGACAAGGAATGAGAAACAGTGGGAAAGCTAACAAGAGAGGAGAGGAATCCAAACTCTTTTTTTAATATCCGTCTCCGTGTCCTCCTTCTTCTCTGCCACTATACACTTATATTCACAAGGACATACAGACGCCATATGTGGTAGACACAGATGGATAGCAGCACATGAGATTCATGGTACCGTGTCTTGACTAGAGTCTGGTGCCAAATGTACTTAATATTCTCATGTTTGGCCAAATCATTGAGCTTTTTAATGACGGAATGAAAATAAGTAATTAGTAGTAGAGTCAGTTAACACAAATGTGGCAATCCTCTTTCCCCGTGAATACGTATCTGTTCATTTTCAGCTGTACCAAAACATCCTACGTGGCAATGCAGCAGCAGTGAGATGTGAGATTTTATTATTCGAATTTTGGGGAACCCAAGAAGTTAGAAAACCCAAGAGGACGGGAAAACCTTGTATGCACTGGACATGTTCACAGTTTCTTTCAACAGCGCACACATGCACATAATTAAATAAAGTCGTACGGCCGTATTCAACAACAGCCAAACAAGCACTCTCTGTGAACACTCCCCTGAATACACTGCATGCTAATGTTTGAAATGACTGCCATTACATGTTTCAAGTCAACTATCTTAAAAGTACAACAGGACTAAGAGGCTACAGCCATGCTAGCAGGCCTGCACCTACACACGGTAGTGTTTAGCACAAAATGCTAACATCAGTGTGCTGGCATACTGAAGTTTAGCAGGTATAATATTTCCCATCTTTTAGCATAAAAGCATGCTAAAATACAGCTGAGGCTGATGGAAATATCATTAGCTTTACAAAGTATTGGAGAAATTAAAGTCTGACCTGATGATGGCACTCGATGAAAGTCAGGGTATCACCAAAGTTGCCTTACAATTCATCCAGAAAAGCATGTAAACATGTCTTTAATTGCAATCCATCCAACAGTTCATACTATCACTGGAGAAGTGAAAGCTTAGGCTTGCTGATGGCATTATATGAAAAAACAAGGGTTCTACTAAATTGTTGGTTAATCCTTGGGGCACCATGGATATCTGCACTAAATATCATGCAAATAGATTCACAGCTGTCGAGACATTTCACTGAAAAACTCCAATGTTAACCTAATGTCATGTTTCCAGACCTCAGCAGTACAGAGTTATCACAACTGATAGGAACTATGACCGAAACTATGACAATATGACCCAAGCTGTAATAAACAGGAAATAACCCCGAACTCGAGTAAGTTCTCCTTTTTACTGAAGCATTTTTGGTATTTTCTTAAAACCAAAATACTGGAAATACTGCCTCTTTACTAACAGTAAGTCTTACGAGATAACACCTAGGAACACATTTGTCATTTCTCTGACTATGCCTCTCTTCTTCCGCCTCCCTTCATGTCTTTCCCAAATCTCCTGCCCAGCAGGGCTAACAATGAGTCAGCATTTTTACTCCCAGAATTCCAGCAGGTCTTTTCTCCGGCCCCACAGCCCTCCTCTCGTCAGTCTGCTCCCAGCTCCTCCTGGCCACGGGAGCCTTCCCTGGGCGGGGGCCTGCCTGGCCCTCGCACGTCAAGTGTGGCCCCAGGGTCTCAGAGGACATGCCAAGTGCAACATGGGCTCCGGCCAAACAGCGCTGAGCCGAGATGGGAGCAGCTGGGAGCTGGAGCGCCGAGTACAGGTGCAGAGAGGAGGAGGAGAGAGAGGGATAAGAAAGAGAGAGGAGGGAGACTGAAGGGGGGGAGAGAGAGGGGGACATGGAGGGAGGCCTGTGGGAGACCCTACTCCACAACGTGGGAAAGTAGTGGCTTACACACAAGCGAAGCCAAGAACACAGGCGAGCACATGCACACACGTCAAAATCATGCAAACAAAAAAAAAAAGAAAAGGCAGGAAAATCACGTCAGCGCTCTTTGGCCAGTACGAAAAAAAGACATCAGCACATGTTGGCTTGAACTGCCTGTTCTGTGTTATCAACTGTTATTTTTGTTATTATTATTACTACAGAGAGGGACCAGGACACCTGTGGGGAGGGTGTGGAGACTGCTGAAAGGGAGAGAAAAAAATGATTTAAAGAAACACCGCTGTGTCTGTGTGATGACGTGCGTGTTTGTGTGTGTATCTGCTGTGACACGGGGATGAGTGACTGAGTGAGAGAAAAAAACAAAAATAAAAACACAACTCAATCAAATGATAACTCATCTGTGTTTAGCCGCGAGTAATGAATTTGACTTTGAGGAACGAAGCCTCCCTGCAGCTCTCTTTAATGTGGGCAGCGTTAGTTAAGGTTACTCTTTCATCTTTAATCATTCAAAGACTCACGCGTGTGTGTGACACATTCAGAGGCATTGGAGTTTCTGAGCCCACACACAGTCATAGACTGGGAAATGGGAGATATGGCATTGCAATTACTAAATGACGGGGTGACATTTCGTCCGTCCTGGAAACTATTTTGTCCTCCGGCACGGAAAAATATTTCCTTTCTAAATTGCCTGTGTAGAAAAAGCGGATCCTCCGTCACCGCATGCTCACACGAGCGAGATTACATTGTAACACATTTACATTAAAAGGCACCAGATAGTGTAATATACGTGACGTACGGGCCTAAGTGACAGGTTGATCATATCACTATTCTATTCACATAATGTCAAAAAAACATGGTCACATGTACCACATGCTGTGTCGGTTAGGTGTGATGTTTTGGGAAATCTTGCATCATTCACAGTGATGTTATTTAACAGTGACCGTGCCAGATGAATTGAACAGAATTTTAAAAAAGCAAAATGCAAACACATGGCGCTTGCAGGAGCTCGTGTAGTTCGACGGAAATTAACGGAAAATATTTGGCCCGTGACTTAACACGTGACCTCGACCAGTTGCAGATGGTAAGTGTATAGAATGCAGTGAACATTTCAACAGGTTCAGCTGGCAAACTTTGTGCAGACCGCAGAAATGAAAACCAAATGCAGCACTTCCTTTTCGTCGTAAACCTGCCATTTTGCCCATGAGAACACATTAAATTAAGCTTTGTTGGGAATATATCGCTTCCCGTAATCAGCCCAGGCAACCGGTGGTTGTTAGAAACCCCATTGGAGGTCACCTAAAACCACACATTAGTCATTAGAAATCAAACGAAATGCGCATTAAGGGTATGAAAGACTGTTTGCCGCAGTGCATGTTCATGAGTTTTTATGATGTAGCACAACAATATCTAATACGTGGGTGATCCTTGTATGGTTGGGCTCTTGCATTTATAGTAGAGTAGGATAGTTTGTTGGTGATTTTTGATTATACGTCTGATGAGTTAGCATTTTCTCACTTCCGGTTCCATTGTCTCAAAGTCAGTGGGGTATTTGAATGGTTTCTGGTTCGTGGTCTGAAATACGATCTGTGGTTAATTCAAGATTAAAAGATTCCAATGTATTGTTCTACGGCACAGAATACGTCAGTAAATACCCCTCTCGTGAATTTTGAAACTTTTCCGTGCGCTTGCGAAGAAGTGGCTAAATGAGACTACAAAATGTCATCACGCCGACTAGTGCGCCTTTACGGCCTCGTTGTGTATACTAATATTTAAAATCTCTCTTTTTAACGAATGTATGAAATGTATGAATGCATTAACTAGTTTGTTACTATTTTTAGTAACTAAACATTTGTCCTAGGAGGTGTGATTGTGGTTTGCCATATTGTGTACATATTTTCTACGAGATATAAACTTGGTTCTACTCAATGAGCCCAGTGTATTCTGGAGAAAGGGGAATATCAGAGCCCCATTTCTCCGTTTTTGCTCATCACGCCACACTAATTTAAAAAACATATTTGTGCCTTTCTACTGCATCGACAGCCTAGTTTTATGAAAAGACCATTTTCTCAGCGCTGAACAACTTCTTTAAGGATGGAAACACATGTATTCAACTACAGCAGACAGAAGAAAGTGGGCCAACCAAACACATGCAAACACAAATAGTTATAGTTATACCATAATTATACACACACACACACACACACACACACACACACACACACACACACACA